TTGATTCTAATCTTGTCATGCTATGAGACAGCTAAAAGCTATGACAGGCAGATGGTCACCTATTTGTTAGAGCCTACCCACACCTTCGAGTGCAGCCTGGGCAGCATACTACCAGGGAAAACAAGAAGCATATAAAAAATTTCAGGGTGTCCAAAATAGACGCTGTGTTGCCTGCTACACTGTGTCAACAGATTTCTTGGACAGTTCTTGCATGAATGTATTGGATTAATTTCTCTTGGGGACTCCTAACACCCTCCTAAAAGTCTCAGGTATGTGCTGAACAAAAGGGAGAACAAAGCATTCTGCCTTAAAAAGCCCTTTGATCAGATGGACTTTTGCTTAAAAGAGAAGCAAGAATGTGACCATTCCAAAGGGATCCTGGTAATTTCTGCCATGATTTCCATAATTCAATACCTTACAATTATGCATTTCAAAGTCATCTGAAAGAACCAATAAAGACAGATTGATTACTTTATTTGTGTACATCACTATGAGACATTATCACTCAATGCTGCCAAAGCCAATTCCATGCCAGCCCTTGATCTAAATTTAGACTAAGGACAAGGAATTGTTTTTTCCTCTACAACGATCACCTAAACGCAAGCGAGCCAAGAGAGGCTGAGACTCTGCAAAGCAGCCAGTACCAGTGGGTGACTACTGGTGAAAAACCTCATGACCTCAAGAACAGGCCCCTCAGGACTTTCCTGAGAACATGTACAAATTTCAGCACCCAGTAAGCAAGAAGCTCAATATATGCACTAGGGATAGGTCTTGACATTTACTTTGAGAAGGTAACTAGGCACGGAAGACAGACATCTAGTGCAGCAGTTTGAAGTACTAAGAGTGGTTCTGGTTTCCCAGAAACTGTAATTTGTTATAACAAAAGTAGAAAATATTCTGCACTGGCCTCTTGTCCCAGCAGTTACTCTGATAGGAAGAACAGAGATCTCTCAGTCTCAGTCCCTGCAGTTCTTCTCAGCCTGAACAGTGTGGAAAATTTCAGCCCTGTATCTGGGTGGAGGTAGTGCCAATTAACCAAGCTTCTCATTTCTCAGAAACATGCGTGCCATTTCACAGATACTGAGTGGAGGTCAAGGAAATGTCCTTTGGCTCAGACTTCCATGGACAGTTTTAGCACTTCTTCACACCCATCTGATTGCACTTGGATTTGAGCACTTGCTTAAAGTCAAGAATCTTGTTTGCTGCTCTGTGGAAGACAATGCCTTCCACATAATCATGATCTAACATAAATATAGGTAAGCACTAAACTTCCATCACAGCTGCTCCATCTGGGACCACCTGTGAGAGCTTACACTAAGCAAAGGATTGCCCTCATCTAACTCCAGAACTGCTCAGCCTGCTATCACCTTAAAATACAAGATGGGTTTGTACGTACGTATGTAGGGACATAGGCCTCATGTTATTTTCTACGCATACTTGTGCGCACAGCACGCTTAGGCCTAGATCCATGAGTGTGTGTGCATGTGGAGAGATAAACAGATAATCTGGAATTATTTCAAAGCAAGTGAAACATTTTTCTTTCTTTCTAGTTGTTTCGCAACAACTTGGCCTTGGGATCTTTCAGAGAGCTGTATGTATGAGTGACATACTTGCCTGTTTTTATAGCTCCTGCCTTATGTCTCTTTAAGCATCTTTCCTACACCTGGAGGAGTTCAACAAACATCAGCTCACAGGTGTCACCCTCCATTGGCTGAAGGCTGGCTCCAGAGAGTCTAGCCAATATCTGCTTTGGCTATTAACAGCCTTGGAGAGGCCAAGCTCAGTGTGTGTGGGGACACGGGGGGAGGAGAAGGTGGAAGGAAAAGGAAGGGGGGGTACATGTATGTGCATGTGCATTTGCTGCTGCTTTAACTTTCCATCCATTTAAGAGTTTAAATACTAGTCAAGCACTTAAAATAACATTAGGACACATTCCAGCTTTCTCTGCCAGTCAGAGGGAAAAAATGTTTGAAACCCTGCATCTCAGCACCCCAAGGGCTTTATGATTTGTTAGGTTTAGTAGTTCAGAGGATTAAAAAGACAGAAATATTAGTAGAAAAAGAAGAGGAAAAAGTCAATGTATTCACTGAAGCAAATCTAATGGGTTGCTGGGCCAGAGAAGAAAAGGTTCTACTACCTGACTGATTCTTATTTATATTTCTTGCTCCACAATAAAAAATAATTTTCTAGACATTTTGCCCCCCCTTTTTCTTTTGCTATGCTAGTCACATTTCCTAAATCCTTTATCAACGGCTGCTCTGCATATGAATGGGCTGTAATTGAACTGTCACATTCATGAAGGTCAGTAACCTTTCATTAGGAAGAATGTGTCTTTCTTGATAAATTGGAAAGTCCCTGAGGATTTGAAAGCATTTTTTTTTATTTCATTCTTTCAAATATACCTTAAAAATCTAACACAGATCTTTCTCTTTCTTTTGCTTTCTTTTCATATCACTCTGACAAACCCCTTGTCTTTGTCTCTGTCATAGGCAGTTCCATGCAAAATATTCAATCACAAGCTTTCACTGTGACCTTCTTAAAAGCAAAATGGGAAGCATAAGCCCCCCACCCTCAACCTCTCAGTTTGAATTGCAGATAGCTGATACTTCTGCTTAAAAAAAAAAAAAAAAAAAAAATCAAAACCTTGAAATTAGAGTTTTTCCATGTTCTTGCTTCTTCAGGCTGACTTAAATATCTACTGTAAAGTGACCTATGTCGAACTGTGTTGGTGCCAGTATATCTGTCCAACTTTTTGGTGTGTCCATTTATCGGCAGAGATGGACAGCCAAACACCTCAAGTAGTGACAGGCTGTATGTGAAAAACAAAGTGTGGGAGAGAATTGTGATTAAAAAAAATACTTAATACTGCAGACAGTTTTCGATCCCTGCTACAGGTAGCTCCATACAACTCAGTCTTCCCTATCTAAGGAAAACAAGCTCTTCAGAGGAATGTTTTTTCACCTTGATCTGCACCCTGACACAGCGGGGTCTTTAAAAGAAGCTTTGTGGCTACCAAACTCATAACTGCTGCCAGAAGCTCAATTCTTCCTTCAGATTTCGATCAGAAAACTTGCAACAGGATGCATGGAAATGTGTTGTTCTTCCCACTCTTACCAGTGCAAAGGTGCCTTCAGATATCTTAAAAATACTACCAAGGCTGCTGATCACAGGGGAAGAAGCCATCTGTTCCTGTAAATACCAAGACTAGGCCATGTTCTAACTAGCTAAGCCTTAGGGCCCATCTCCAGTCAGTTGACCAACTTGATGTCAAGGGGTCATAAAAAAGGCAGCTTGGTGACAAAGTCAGTCATTATCAAGATAGAAACACCAGCATGGAAAAGGGGAGACTTGATAAATGGAAGCAAGCATCTGGCTTTTCGTGTTAGCTAGTCAAATACTTCAAGAAGTAACGTGAATTACAGGTTCTCCAGAGCTGTCAGAAGACCATCCTTTTATTCTCAGCACCAACAAAACTGTGGTGATTGAAGATTCACCACTATAAGATGGAATATAGAGGAAAGAGGAACAAGGTATAATTGCAAAGCAGCTGGAGTCCTTTAATGGTGGAGGCCACACTGGAAGCTTTTCAGCTGGAAAGATGAAAGAAGCAAAACATTTCTTTTGATTTTTGCAGGAGTGGTTGAAGAATGACTACTTTCATTAATTAGGCTTAACTTACTTTTCTCAAGACCTCTCTCAAGTAGTGGACTTCTGTTGAGGTTACATGCCCAGCTTTGAATGGGAATCCTTTACTGCAGTGCCACAATATGGAACTTCTTATACTAGTAAGGAAAGCGATAAAAAAGACTCTCCTAAAGCAAAGAAAGAAAGGTGCTACGTGCCTTCCATATTAATGTCCTCCAGCAACAAGAGTATGTTTGAATTCATATGGAGAGGGTGTTTATTTAAAATGTTCTCTTACGCTCCAGTTCTGCCACCATTCTCTGGGCACAGAGTTCATGGTGGAGGCTAGCCAGGTGGGCCAAGAAGCATAAATCAGCCTAGATAACCATCAGAATTCTCTCTGCCACTGGTGAAGTGCAGGTACCTGCGATGACATTGTAAAAAAAAGACCAGCCTTTATCAGTGGCTAAAGGTATGGGGCAAACACTACATGGGATTCTAAAACAGCTGAAAAGCCTTCACAGACCATCACTTTCAGTGCCATGTTCAGGCTGCCCAGTGTCTAACTGCCTAACTTAGAAACCTCTGCTACAATGGCATGTGAGGCCAATAAGCAAGGAGTGATTCGGACTCCATCCTTTTGTGAGCAGCAGTCACAGTGCATCAAGCAGGCAGGACTGACACGCCTGCCTTGGGTACCAAAATGACTTTTTTCCCCACTGGCTGCGCAGGAAGCCAGGGCCTAGCACCTTGTCATAACTGGTGGCCAGAATTGCTCACCAGTCTCTTGACCTGTCATTGCTCCCATGTTTCATAGCAGGCAACAGGAATACAGCTCACAGCTTCTAGCTCTCAGTGTGATCCTTGCTCTGTGGAATAAACAGATACGTTCTTGTGTGGTGCTTTTCAACTGTATGTCAGGAGATGCCTCTGAGTGAGCCCTGTTTTGAGGCAAGATCCTGACTGCTTTATCAGGGAGAGACTAGTAAGCAAAGAAGAAAAGCAAAGGTACTTTTTAATGTAAAACACAGTTTATGGATCAGTTTTCCCAAGAGTTAATTTAGAGATCATTGATGTTTTAATCTCCTGCAACGTATGTGGATGTGCCAGTGGTCTGGAGAATGGTTTTATGCAAACGTCCAAACATTCAGATACTTTCATTTGCCAAAGAACCAGAAGTAACTGCCAGTCAAATCAACTCAAGTGGAAGAGCACAATCTTGGGAAAGAAATCTCATGAAAATAAATATTTTTAAAAGATATTTTCTAGCACGCCTGGCTTAAAATACCCTTAGGGCAATATTTCTTATGGTGTATTTTTATTTGTCTTCTCAGATAAAAGTTTAATAACCAAGTGGATGTGAGGTAACTACTTACAAATCTCTGGAGAAATTCTGTTCTGATTCACGCTCTTGTGTCCTCTGTCCAGAGTATCCAAATTTCTTTCCTCACTCGAAATTGGAGTTTCCTACATCTCAGTACTTGGATTCATACAAACTAAACCTTTTTGTATATCAAGGAATCTGGATTCCAAGATTTCAGTTCGGGGCTGTCTCAAATGAAGCTCTGATAACTGCATATGGAAAAAAACACAGTGGCATATCACCTCATTATATATATCCAGACCAAAACAATAAGGCTTCTCAAGCACTCTGCACTGTGTATAAAATAAAAGTGGTTAAAGAATTTGCTTAGAAGTGTGTTAAGCATTTTCCAGGCAGGCGGTGAATAAATCCACTTTACCACTTCATGGCTTTACAAAGAAGCCCATCCATTAACATGGGAACCCTCTTGTTTGCATTTCTTAACAGCTGACATTTGTACCTTTCGAAGGAAAGTGAAGGGCATCTCATTGCCTCATTGTTTAAATCAGTGTGGAAATAATGGGGATGATAGGGAATTGGAGCTAATTTCCTTTGTCTCCTATTCAGCAGATAATGGTGGTATGTGCGGGATGCTAAAGGCCAGGCAGAGGAGGTGACCTGAAGATGACTTCATTCTTCTGAGGTTTATCAAAGGCTCCTGTCAGTCAAATGCATGCTGAGAGATTGGGAACTGGCCATCTGGTCCAAAGTTAATCAAAGAGGAAAAAGGAAAGTGAGGAGGTGAAAAATCCCCCTGTCAGCTTTGTGCAAGGTGGAGGGAGATGCAGGCAGAAGAGGGAACTCCTGTGCTCCAGCAGCCCAGCACCCGTGCTGGATGGCCATGCTGTAGGCAGGGGAATAAACGCAGTGGAGTGGGTGAAGGAGCGTGGGGGAAAAGGAAAGATAGCGTTGTTTTGAATTTTTACTGGGATGATCCCACACCAGTTTTAAGTGGCAAGCCTGAAGGTCACTGCTGCTGTTAGCCATGCAGAGCAGAGGCAGAATTGTTTCGCTTGTCCTCAGAAAAAAGGGGGAGTGACTCACTCACAGTAGGGAACCGGTGTAATATAAAACACAGGGTTTTCTGTCAGAGTGACAGACTTCTTTCTCTGGAGTTTTGTTTCCTGCAAGCAGGAACAAGAGGTACAGCCACGCCACCTTCATGTCCTGCAGACACAACCTTACCCAGCTCCTCACCTTCTACCCCCTCCACCCAGTGGGCTCAAAATCAGGTGTCCTGCAAGCACTAGCCACTTCCGAGAGTGTTGTATAACTGGCCCTTAATGGCTTTCCTGTCAGTATGGACTCACGTACATTTTTACACTGTGTGTAAGTTAAGAGGGGTGTAGAGATGGGATTTAACAACAAACAGTTTGGTTTGGCTTATGCTGAAAGGGTGTCACATAATGCTTGTAAGACTGAAGACACCAATCAGACATCTGAAATACTGTCTAAATGTGTGTGTACTATGTAAAAATACACTATTTCACCATGGATGCATTCTGAAGTAAAACACCCAAGTGTGACAGCCTGTTAGTCTGATTTTCATAACCAGCCCTGTTCAGCTGCTCAAATCAGCTAAATAGAGACATATTTTTAAAACTACAAACGTCCAGATTGTGAATCCCTCCCTCACGCTGGCAAGTAGTCATGCTAATGAGTAGTCTCCTTGACTCCAGGGGAGAAATTCTTGCCAGCAAAGGTTTCACAATCCCAGCCCTAAACATTTCTAAAATGATTAATCAATGTGAACTAACTTAAAACAAAAAAAAAAAAAAAAAAAAAAAAAAAAAAAAAGAGGAGGAAATCGGAGAAGGTTCTTTTGAAGGTCTGCAAATTAAGGCTGAGCATGGGGAGATGATTTTGTGGACTTAGGCAGAGCAAAGGATGATCATGCTGCCTCCAGTACACATCCCCCCTTCCCCCCAGGACAGAAACATGCTAAAACCAGAGAGAACAAGAAAAAAAGACCTTGGCTGCTTCATATACCTGGGGGCGGGACGTGTTTCTCCATTAAGTTTCCATTCTTCTTCCTCCTCAGGTTGAGGTCCAGTCAGGCCCCCATAGAGAGGAACATATGGAAAACAGTGGCAGTGAGTTCTGCTCTTCCTGCAGCTTTGCTGGGTTGAGTCTCCTCCAATGCCCTGTTTGGGAGCATGGCTTTGCATGGTCAAGTGCTGTAAAATGGAGCTGAGAATAGGAGAGTGGAAGCGTGCAGGGCTTTAAAAACAAAACCAAACCTTTACAAAGCACCTAACCCCAAAGAACCTCTGCTGAACAGATGATCCCAGCCAAGAACATACAGCTGCATCTGTATATAAACAGTATATACACAATTATACACTGCTTGCTGCCCTCATATTTTTAGCGAGATTTTAAAATAGCAAGCAACCTGATGCACACTAGGCAGCTTAAAACAAACGTAAGTGAATCAGGGTGAAGACTGAGGGGCCTTGGATTTTCTTGCTGCTAATGGCTGACATGACCCTTATGCATGGGAATAAAAGTCAGTGAACAACCTCATGGACACCAAACACACACTGCAGTTTTACTTACCATGACTCATACTCGAGTAATGTACCTGAGCTGTGATGAGTTCAGAAGGAAGGGAACTAATAGCAGTAAGGTTTTTTTGCTTTGTTTTTTATCTAGACAGCTCTAGATCTGAGAGAAATATGACTAAGAAAATGATCTCTCCCAACCCCTGGAAAGAAAATGCAGCCATGTGGATCCCAACATAAAAACAAGCATTGGCATGTCTGAAATACTGTGCCTGCTATAATTAAAACTCACAAGCAAATAGGAAACAACCCTATTTCTGTCTTTATAGCATGAAACCTGCAGACATTTAGAAATGGGCTGACAGAAGAGTCAGCAAGGAAATTTCACCAAAAACCTGCTATTCCCCTGGATGAATTAGGGGTTTTTATCAGTCAGCAAGCTGTATCATATATTTATGATTCCCCTTGCCCAGTTACCCTTGGATCTCACAGAATGAAAAAGCCTTAGACTTACTTACCTATGTCTGCAAGGATTCCCAGTCTAACACGTTGGTTGGATAAACAGGCATGAACACAGTCATCAGCATGTCCTCCCCCTCCTTGTGGGCTTGAAATAATTTGACATGCCAAGTTAAACAATGCCTTGAATCAAACAGTATCTCCATTTTCTTCAGTGACAGACTATTTCCAAAAGCAGGTAGGGGTTTTAGCTACATAACCCTAAACTGATAGAAGATAAGTGATACATCTCCTTGAAGACTTTGAGAACATCCAACTGTTGCCTTTTCCCCACACCCTCCACAACTCCCTTATTTCTAGTTAGAAATCATTTAATTGCAAATATCACAATATTAAGTCCTTCCTGAAGAACTTTTTCACCTTTTTTCTCTGTTATACTGCATGGTCAACAGCAAGCATGATGAACATATGCTTTAATGATTGCCAGAGCAATAATTCACCGAGAACCAGTCCTCTTTCAAAACACTTCAGAATAGCAAGGAGTTGGGGGACAGAAATTATCAGGATGCTGGAAAGCACTAATACAATTTATTAGACAAGCCCTGTGTGATGCAATGGCAGGTCTGCTATCAAAGGCAAAAACCTTCAGGCATTTTACATCCCATAATCCCAATGAAAGCCTGTTTTTGCAGATACCCTGCAGTTCATGAATCACTGGCTGTAGCATACAAAATCCCCTATTTAAGTAATTAGAGTACAATACACAAATCTGCACAGTGGCTGATGTTATATAAAATATTCCAAGGCAGTCTCAAAACTACAACATAAAAAAAAAATCCCAACGGGAAACAAACATCATGCAGTAAGCATATTTCATGAAGTAGGGGATGCTCTAATCTGATCATATTAGGTCTGTTCTGGAAGTGGCCTGGCAATACAGGGACCCAAGCGAGCCATGGACAGAGAATGGCTCTGGTCTCCAGACATTGTTTTCCAATTGTTTTCAGTTGGGCTTCAAGTACAGCCTCATGGTCCTCATTTTTACATAACTGGATGGTTTTGGTATTACCACCTTAGTTTTCAAACATCAAAGAACACCGAAAGATCTCAAATCTCAACCCTGGCCTTGGCCATGCATTGCCCAAATAATGGGTCTGTCTTCCCTTTCTTCTGCAGAATGAACCAAAAACCTTGTATTCTTGGAATATACCTAAATACCTAAATTGCATCGGGCAGTATGAAGTCTCATCTCTGTACTCAGTTCTGATTTATCTCCATACCTGGGCAGTTCAGCAACGGGGAAGATGGGCTTTCTTTTGTGAAGAACCATTATTTGCCTAACTTTGGTTTAATCTACAGACTGCCTATTTCACCAAAGCTTGAACCCTGTACTTGCTCTGTAAATCAGACTCTGTGTGGCATTCTGCCAAGTCACTTCCAGATCAGACCAGCATACCCACATAACCAGAGCATCAATGAAAAAGGATAAAGAAGGACAGAACTGCATTATGATTTACAGAGTATGATGAGTGTGTTCAATTCAGATTAATTAGAAAATATGTTCTACTCTTCTACTTACAATTTAAGATCTGGAAAAGGTCACAGGAGAAAAAAAAATCTGAACTGGAAAATGAGCATTACTTTTATTGTAAGAGTTTGCTGAATTCCTCTTTCAGAGGAAGGACACAGCATGCCTTCAGTGGAAGTCATGGTTTTAGAAACGTTGATCTGAATCAGACAGCATTTTCAGAAATCTCCTGTACCTCCCACAAGGTCCAGCACTTCAGTACAAACTTTATCTTCTTGTTCTTGGTGCAAGAAATCTGCAGAACAACTGGGAGTTGGTTTGCAAAGAGAAAAATTATAATGGCCCACAAAACATAAGGTCAATTGACGTTTTGGAAGTGTTTTATGAACTGGAAATCTTTCTCCAAAGTATTTCAGTACAGCCCAATAAAACATTACATGCTGGCAGAATTTTATCCTGTTAAAATTGGCAAAGGTTTCTTCACCAAAGAGTAAGTTTTGTTCAGGTTTAATTTACTTTCATACTCCCCCAAATTTCAATGTAATTGCTCAGGTGCAGGTTGACAGGTTCCTGAGATAGTCTAAATTAAGCAACCCCCAGCAACCAAGGCACAGACACCAACTACATGATGAAAACAGGGAGGAACAGCAATTAACATCTCATGCAAAAGCTGTCTGTGTTAGGTTTGTGTGGAGCTCCCAGGGCAGGTTGTTAAATTGGACATAAGTTTTTGTTTGAAGAAAGGCAGACCCATGATGCAGAAGGCTTTTCTGGGTTAGGTCTGCCTTTTGCTACAAGCATTAATCACAGAGTGCAAGCAGTCTGAGTTAAAAACACAGTGAAGAGTTTGGCAGAAATTTGGACTGCTCTGTACGTGCGATGTTGTGATTCCTCCAGCTGCAATTCCCTAGGATGCATTTCACCTAGCCAGCACCTGACAGGAAATATTTAGGAGGTTATAAGTCTTCTTTAGAAGAAAATTACAGCAGAAAGAGGTCCCATATAACAACTAAAACACGAGAAAAAGGCTTCTCACAGTTTGTGTTCTAGGTGCCCAACTGAAATCCTGGCTCCATAAAAAGTCTTTTGCTGTGCACTTCTAGGAGGCCAAGTTTGTCAAAGTCTAGCTAGCTTTCATATATATTTCACTTGCTATGTTGCCTAGCTCCATATTCAAAGAAGAGTAGACTTAATCTCACTGTAAAGAACAAACACAGTGTACACAGAGATGGAAAACTGTTTGGATTCCATACCCCTATGCACCTCAGCAGGCAGCCATTCAATAATATGAAGAAGGTGTCCCCATCCTTCTCTTTTATTGGATTTGCCAGAGGAAGGGAGGCAGAATTTTGAGACCATTTTTTGACATAGTTGATGTGCTGATGTTGATTTTATTTTTCTCTAAAGAGTTTTATTGACTCAACAAGATACCAAGATTTTTGATTCACGTGTTACATTGCTACAGCATGACAACTGATTTTTCTGCTGTAACAGAGACAGAGTTGTACCACAGTATCTTTCCATATGCATATAGGTTGTTCTGTAGCTTTAATTTAAAGAATAGAGCAAAAGATCCAGCCTTATGAAAAGGGTAGTTGTGGTTGTCATACAGATGTTTTGCTAAAAAAACCCTGGATCACAATCAAAGTAAATCAAAGAGGTGGGAAAGAGAGGGTTCAGACTATTCACTCCCACCATTTTATGTCAGTTTAGCAAACCCATTGCAGCAGTAATATAACAGATAAGATAGATAAAATCTTCTCAGCATCTAAACACAACAACCTAGAAACAGAAACAGAAGTTACAAAAGCAGGCAATTTTTTCATGAGGCATGCCCAATGCCTAATATCTGACTTTTTCCTGTGTTCATGGTCAAACTATCAATGTGAATGAGCACTGAAGTGAGTGTACAACCCAGTAGGGTGGATGAGCTCATGATTCATGAATGAGATTAGACCAGAGATTCCAGAAAAAACAGGTATTAATCTGTGTCCCTTTTCCCATACTTCCCCTTAGCAGCCATCCTTCCAAAATCCAGAGAATTAAATGATCATCTGAAGAAAACAACACTAAAAAGAAATATAAAAGTCCTACAGCTCTGCTAATCACTTGAAATAGTCTGTATAGCCACCAACTGAAGCAGGGATCTTTGGTCTATTGTGGTGTATTATGTGACTTCAAGAAAATGAGATGGGAAGGTAAATATACAAAGCAGGATTTAGCAAGGCGTTGGGTGAAGAGGGACAAAACCCCTTCTTATGGTTGTCAGTAAAAAGGAGGGTGACACTCTTACAGAGTTAGAGGAGGTCAATAAATCATCATCCTTATCTTGCAAACAGAGCCTGTGACTTCAAAAATTAGCTCATTTATTCTGCACAATTAAATTTATTGAAGTGTGACAGAAAAAGTTTAGCAGTCACTGATGCAGAAAGGCAGCAACAACGGAGGCAGGCAACTGACTGAATGACACAATTAGTTGATTTTCATTTTATTTATCAATATAATTATTGAATTGTATTTATCCTATTTCACAGATTTTTACCATTATTAGAGCCTGGGCCTCAAGGGAAAGAATTAGTTCAAATTTTCAGTCTAAGTTAATGTGATTATAGAGCTGCTAATAAAAGTTCTATAAAGTGCTAAATAATCTTGTATTCAGTGTCACTCCACCATCAGGCTCTGAAATCCAGAATCCTTTCACGTAAAGGCAGTAAATTGGATATGAATTGTGAATGCACTACATTCCCTAGATGGCAACCGAACCTATGTATGCAGGATCTCACCTTGATCTTGACTCAAAGGAGCGAAGATTTCCTTCCGAGTTTTAAACTCAGGGATGTTTGTTTCTTAAAAAAAAAAAAAAAAACAACCAAACAAAACAAAACCACAAAACCAAAACAAACAAACGAACCCCCCCAAACAACAAACCAAACCACACATTAAAGAAAACACTCCAAAAAAACCCACTGCAACCTCTTTGTCCCCACCTCTACTTCAAGCTTCAGCAAATTTATTTGGAAATGTTGTGAAAAGAGTGCAGGAATATTGGAGAAAGACTGCCATGCCAGAGGAGCAGCAGATGAGTATGTTTTTTACATAAAATTATAACATTGATCATTTTGGTACACACTGAAAAAATATAACTCCAAAGCTTCTGATAAGATTTTTAAAACCAGTATAAAAGCTATTGACAAATTAAAAAGGTATCCGTTAGCAAAAGTTACTTTTCTTCTTGTCCAGTCCAGTTTAGAAACATCTAGACTACTCTGGCTCACTTCATGGCATGACATTTTGTCATTCACAATATCTGCTTTGGTTTTGAACTTGTAAGAGACAGAATGAGAAATGCTGGACTTGACTCACACACATATTCCATCCTTGCCTTCTACATACATGAGGAAGCAAGCATATGTTCAGCAGTAAGCTATATAGTAATTCATGTCCTTTCTCACAGGTTCAGGAAATTAGACCACATGCTATTGCGAGTGTCTAACTTTTCCAATGTTTTGAAAGACTATTTCCATTGCAGCTAGCTTATTCAGTTCTACCCTCCACTTCCATTCCATAAAATTTAATTTATTTGCTCTGAGAAAAAGACATACAGGCCATTTTTCTAAACATTTGTCAAAGTGTCATGGAGCTTTGCCTAAAACATTAAAAAAAATGGAGAGGGTCCAACATAATTCTACAGCCATAATTAA